GCCCTGCGCTGGACTCTCTCCAGCAGCTCCACATCCCTCTTGTACTGTGGAGGCCAGAGCTGGGCACAATACTCCAGATGTTGCCTCACCAGGGCTGAGTAGAGGGGCAGGATCACCTCCCTCGACCTGCTGGATATGCTCTTCTTAATGCACCCCAGGATCCCATTGGCCTTCTTGGCCACGAGGGCACACTGTTGCCTCATGGTCAATTTGTCATCCACCATGACACCCAGGTCCCTCTCCGCAGAGCTGCTCTCCACAAGGTCGGTCCCCAGCCTGTACTGGTGTCTGGGGTTATTCCTCCCCAGGTGCAGGACCTTGCACTTGGCCTTGTTGAATTGCATGAGGTTTTTCACCACCCAGTTGTCCTGTTATCCTCCCTTCCCGAAACGATGGAGAAAAGCAGGAATAGGGCAGATGTGCCAGGGAAAAGCTCCACGTGTGCTGCAGTTACAAGCTAAGGGCCCAGTAACGCAGCCTCCTATTGGAAATATCATCCACGTGTTCCCGCTAGGAGCTTTCGGCCGAGGGTTGTTGCTCCAGATGTTGCATCCAGGTTCTCCTTCTCGGAGGAGTTTTCCTTTGATTTTACTTCGTGAGTTACACGAATCTTTTCTTTTTCTTTGCAAGGTGTAAGACAGTCAACAAGAAACGAACGACGAGGCCTGGAAACAGGCTCGATTCACAGGAATCCCACCCAAAAGAACAGATTTTGTGCTTAAAATACTCAAAATGGTCCAAAATTGAGGTGTCACAGAACGCCCACCACGTTTCACTGCCAGACTTCCCATCCTACCTTAAAGCGCTTTGGAAACGGACTCCATGCTGAAGCTTTTTATGGAACTCAGCGAGAAAAAGGCACATTTCCCTGCCATCTTCCCTTAAAAACATTAGTGACCCTCCTCTCTGAACCAAACCTGTTGCTTGACTGTCACTTCTGCTGCTTCTTTGGCGACTGCAAATTTCTTTCTCTCACTTGGCCGTCACTAATACGAAGGAATGCAGCAAATGTTTGGCTTTCTCCTCCTGAAAAGCACTACTATTGCACTACAAAATAAAAGGGGCTCCTATTCAAAGCTTGCACGGTGTATTTTTCTGCTGGTAATATGTGTGGCAAAGCCTCTTTGCTAATTAATGGGCCTGAAACATCTCCAACGGTGCCACTTAAAGTGATGGGGACTGATCTGGACTGAAGCGAAAAGGCCATTCCTAAATAAAAGTTAAAAATCTTACAGCACTCGTGTTTGGCTTTCTTAAAAACTATTTCATACTGTAAATATGCAGCAACATATAAAGGTTACCAAGTGGTTTACATACCTACCATTCAAGTTTTTCTAATGTCTTTGAAATACTCGATAGAAAACAGTCATCAAAAGAGGAGGAAGAAAAAAGTCAGAGGCTCTGAGTCTGCTCAGGGTCAAGCACGTGGCTTTTTCTTCTGTTGCAGAAACAGAACATGTGTTAAATGTTATTTTAACTACAATATTTTAGCTACAATACACCAGCTAGCACTGAAAAAATAGGGAAATAGGACTTGGGTTTCTACCAAATACTGGAAAACACCTCTCAGGAAAAAGACATTCCAAAAAAATCACGCTTTCTGCCCCTTCTGGATGCGGTTTGGTGCTCAGCAGGACACGTGGACATTGCTCTGAGCCCGTTTCTCGTTAGCTCCGAGACTCACGTGCTCTTTTCTTTTCTTCTCCCTATTTTTCTGAATCACTTTCCTGATAGGGCACCTCCCTCCCAGCGTTTTTCCTGACAAAGCCCTCTCCACCCCTCGACCTTTGGAAAAGACCATTTCCTTTTACAGCACCCAACAACATTTAACTCTTATCTGACAGCTTTTTTATTTATTGATGCATTTCCACTTTTGGGCACTTCTGCTTCTCAGTTAATTTTCTGTGGTCGTGGCCAAGGGGACTTGTAATTTTGCTTTGGGCTCTGAGGCCTCTTATTCCTACCTTATTCCTAGACTTAAGGTCTAGGACGGATCTCCCCTTTCACACTATTTTTGTGCAAGAACCGTTTCTTCCTCCTCCTGTTTTTATTGCTTTCTGCTGCTGCTTTTCTTTTAATTTTCCCACATTCTCTGGCCTTTCGTGTTTAATCATCGACTCCAGCACCTCAGAGCACAGCTGGCTTGAAACAGTTACTAGGAACAAAACAGTGGCACATCTAAAAACATCTTTAGTTAATAGATCATATTACAAATTTATTTTAAAAATGCTAACATTTATTACCCCAGCAGGAGGAATATTTTCTCTTTGGGTCTTCTAACCTCTCGAACTCCAAATCACATTCTTAATTACACCAGGTACTCTGAGCACCTACCAATAGGAGAAGCACTTCACTGAAATAATTACATTTGCTCTTGGGTTTTAATTAAGCAGCCCACTCAGCTGAAAACTAATAGATTGGTTCCTGTTGTTTCCAATTGGGTTTTGAATCACTGGCCATGAAAACAGTTAAGTTGTAGCCACCTAACACTGGCAATTGAGTATGGGGCTAGTTTATCTTTACTCGAGTGTCTGTCTTTACCCAGAACTGGTTTTATTACCCTCCGTAACCTTGGCAAAAGCACCGCAGAGTAAAAGCACACAGAGATCCAAAGATGACTTCACAGGTTTTCTCATCTACATTACAAATTAATTTGGATATTTAAAAAAAAAAAGACTGGAGCAGAAGGCAGAGCACCATGTGGTAGTTGCTTCTAGAAGCCAAATAGAGACAACTTGGGCATAGAGACATAATCATCATTTTCTGGTATCAGCTCCTTCAGGCACAAGGAAACTACCGAGCTAGAAATGGTTTTTTTTCTCTCTATAACTTTTGACAAAGCCCCTAAAGCCTGTGAATTTTTGATCTTGACACAATAGAAGAAAGAGTAGCAAGTTTAATCGCTCTTCATCAGGAAGATTATTTTAATATGGCTCTTCTAGGCTCTCGAGTCTTTCATTAGGTTGATTCAGTGATTTGAGAGGTACAAAATCAAGGGGAAAAAAAACGACATCTTAAAATTCCCCACTGCTTTGATGCTAAAAGCTGACATTTCCACGCACAAAATTCAGCAGCTGTAACATGTCCTGCTGCAGAAAGAAGCTGAACATAATATAAAATATATAAAATATAATATAAAATATATAATATATATAATATATATAAAATAATATATAAAATAATATAAAATAACCGGAGTCTCACCTCAGCCTTGCGAATACTCTCTCTGGCTTCATCTATTTTCTGCTCCAGTTCCGCACGGGTTTGCTCCGACATCACGGGCCCGTGACACTCCAGCTCCTCCAGTGTCTGTCAAACATGAGAAAAACACATCACGGGGTCAACATTTGCTCATAAACCGTCTGCGTGGTCAATATTTGGGACCATCTACTGAAATTCTTATAGATATTACTGTATTGTTCGTGTGTTTGTGTTATTACGTAACATTTAAGTGTTTATTACTCACATGGACTTTCTGGAGTTGAAAAGACCCTTAAAGCTCAAAATTAATATATCGTTTCCTACAGTTAATACATACATGATATAGGGGACATAAGGGACTTGCTGAAACCTGAGTGTGGACACAAGTCCCACAGTGTAGAATGGAGATGGGACTGTAAATTAACGGCAATGGAAAAGGAGCAGTAACTTCACATTTACACTGGAATAACAGAATATTATGAGTCAACGTTCAACGAGTCAATGATTTTTAGGGGTTGCTAATGTGGCTGCTGGAGCATGTCCCACCGAAGAAGGAAAGATAAATAAGGCGTCTCCTTGAGTGTCTTCAGCAGGTCGAGGGAGGGGATCCTGCCCCTCTACTCAGCCCTGGTGAGGCCACATCTGGAGTATTGTGTCCAGTTCTGGGCTCCACAGGACAAGAGGGATGTGGAGCTGCTGGAGAGAGTCCAGCGCAGGGCTACGAGGATGATCAGGGGCCTGGAACATCTGCCCTATGAGGAGAGGCTGAGGGAGCTGGGCCTGTTCAGCCTGGAGAAGAGAAGGCTGACGTCTCCTTCTCTGGACATCTTCAACCCCGCTGGGACGCAGCCCTGTGCCACGTGTTCTAGGTGACCCTGCGTGTGCAGGGGTTGGACTAGATGACCTCTAGAGATTCCTTCCAACCTCAAGCATTCTGTGATTCTATGAAGGCAGGTGCCCTAGAGAGAAAATAGGACAAAAAGCCTCATTCCTCGGTGCTTCCAGCAGCTCCTATTTGCTGTGGCGGGGGGCTGCAACAAATCCCATGGCCGAAGCGGTGTTTCTCGCACCTACCCGCTGGCTGTGGACGATGTTCTTGTGCTCCCGCGCGACGCGCGTTGCCCATTTCCTGGCCTCCTTGTTGAGGCTGTGCTCCTCGGTGGTTCCAGTTTCCGATTCCAGTTGTCGGCTCTGGAACAGAGAGCGACAGGAGAGCGAGTTACGACGCCGACCCGGGGCTACCTCTGTGGGTAGGACGATATCCGACTGTTTGAGAACCCTCCCTTGGATTTATGAGCCTGCAATCCGGTTTCATGCAAACTAGGCGAGTTTCGACAAACACAACTCTCTGCCTTATGAACTTTGCCAAGATCTCATGCTATGGAAGAGCAGCTATGAAGGCAAATCAAAGTCCAGGAGAACTTGTGCTGGCTCAGGGAAACCAGCCTTGCCATAGGCCTGAAGGCCAAAGGCAATGAAACAATTCCCAAGGAATGGAACCCAAATATTATTTCACCAAGACTCTTCCAGGAGATGAAGAACGATGAGCCAAGGGACTCGCCTTGAATCTGGGATCAACATTCACTCTAGGAAGCAGAGACAGCAGCTTAGGCGCGATGCAAGGAGCCACTGGGGCTCATCCACCTGATTTTTGACCAAATCATCACACCATCCATTTGTTTAGAATAAAACAACCTTTTCTCTGTCCCCCGAGATAATTTAATCTGCAGGACAGGAAGGCCAATTCACACTTTCTCATCCTGCTCCATATTATGTCTATTGCACTTTAGTAAACAAAAAAATAAATCCTCTCCCTCCAGGGACGCTGAAGCAAGAGGCCAAAGTCTTCTATTTTAAACATACTGAACAGCACCGATTTGGAAAACTGAGACAAATTCTGCAATAATTAAAGACTGAAACCACTCCCTGCTGCTGAGTGACTCTTTAGGGTCACAAATCCCTCAACGATGTCTCTGCCCCATAAAACACCCTGAGTTTTCACTGTTCCCACTGGTGTTGCTTCTCCTGAGCATCTCATTTCCATCAGGACCGAACAGCCTCCACCTCAACGGCCTGACACCATTTTGTGTTATCCCACGTGTGCTTCTGGTTTTTAATCTATTTATTAAAAGTGCTTGATGGGAAAAACGAATGCAAACCTTGCAGCTATTCCTAAGGGCATGCTAAAATAAATACGTGGTTATTGGATAGGAGTGGTTTATTAGTTATTAATTTATCTGCTGGTGGCACCAAAGCCAAAAGTTGGGGAACCAGTGTCTGGCCTGAAGCTGATGCCCGAGGTATTAATGCACTTAGTATTGATTTATTTTTAGTTGAAACCTGGGGGAAGACAGAGAAAACAACGGGCATTGCAAGGCAAGGACATGAAATGGAGGGGAGACGGTAAAGCCCAGGAATTGGATGATCTCCATGGATGGAGATTCCAGGTCTAAAGGGGAAGAGGGCAGCTCTGAGTCTACATGGCCCATTGCCGAGGTGAGATGGTGGCACTGCCTGCTGTCCTACCCATCTCCTGGAACCTTAGCGGTTCTCCTGCAAAACTCCACGTTTAGGGCTCGTTTATGTGGGTTTGGGACAGGGATTTTAGGTAGCGACAAGGTGTCTCATGTGAATGAATCTCGTCCCAAAAGGAGGAGAACAAATCCATGTATCACGGCCGAGGAATGAGACCGAGCCAAACAACCTGAGCTCAAAGAACTTTGTGTTTTCCTCTCCTTGCTCAGATTGCTTCTTTTTTTTTAAGAAAAAAAATGGCTCTGGAGCCTGAAAACAGTATTCTTTTTCTAGACCTCAAAAAATGTTCATTTCAACCAAGGAAAAATGTAGGAAATGTTTCTTGCATGCAAACCACTCACATGAAACACACCTCAAAGCACAGGCAGCTCTTCTGAAAAAGCTCCAGCCAAGGGGAGCCCGGTGCAGCGCGGAGCTGCGCACAGGATATGCATGACCTTTTCTTCACATAACAGCTAAAACCATCAGTTTTAAGGAAATCGTTAGATTTCTGTAGTCAATTTAGGGTTTTTTTCTATTATAGTTGAACTCACTCAGTTTTAGTTGAACCAGGGGTGAGTTCTGACTGCCTTGCACTTCAGGCCTCATCCCTTATCTTTTAAAAACCCTAAAATACTCCGTTGTTATCAGGCTACATGACCCTGCAGGGCAGGTGCAGAAGGAGAAGGAACTTCCCATGGGCAGGAGGTAAAGAAAATAATTGCATTTAAACTCAGCACAAAGGAAAAAAAGATGGTTCTGGGCTATCTGAAAGTGGTAAAAAGGGGCCTGGGCCTTTCCTGCATCTTCTGGACTGAAAAATACTCCTTGCTCAAGGCTTAAATGACTACGTTGTGTTCGATTTCTGTGATTAATAAAGCTGGGCTTTGCAAATCTTTGTTTTCCTTTCTCATCTTTTACTGTAAAAGCTTTAAATCTTCTCCTGGAAATGAATTCCGTAATGATTTCCGCGCAGAGCAGCTCCCAAATCCGCACCGTGCTCTGCCAGGATGAGAAACACACAAGAAACATGAGGAAAAAAGGGTCTATCAGTGAGTAAAGGAAAAGGACATTTGGAATCAACCTTCATGGAGCCTGATCTGACTTCCCGGATGGTTTCTAAGCAGCTGCTTTGCTCACACAGGGCTTATTTATGTGGCGATCATTTTTCCCCAAAGCTTTTATTCCACGGATATTAATTTATTTAAATACGGAGAGCAAGCATCAAATATTTACGTTCCATAATTCCACAGGACAAAATAAACAGTTAAGTTTATTAAAGTTTAAAGTATTTTAAGCATTAACTATTTTAAAAGTATTTTAAAATATTTAAATCTATGTAAGATGAAGGAGGTTTGAAGGATATTTTAAAAGTCAAACGTTGCACCTGGATGCAAGCACAGAAAGCCACGAAAGCTGAAGGGGCGTAAATTAAAGGGTGTTAATTGGGGCCCCTCGTTGCTTTTGATGTAGGAATTTCAACCTACTTTTAGGAGGCTGCTTTAGGCAACGGGCTGGGAATCGTCGTCGCAGGGAACGCGCGGATGGAAAACAGGAAAGAGCCGGAGCTCCGAGTATCCGCTGCTGCCCTCCAGCTTCATGGATGTGCTTGTTGCCACTGCTCTCTTTTTTTCTTTTTTGTGGAATAACATGCAATTCAAGGAAAAGAATCTTTTCCAAACAGGAAATCTAGAAAAGCTAGCTAATTTCCTTTTTTTTGGCCATGTTTTTATAGATAGGCTTATCTATCAAGCATGGGACAGTGTGTTTGCAACGCGACAGATTTCTGCAGCCTTAATAAATATCACTTTTAGGATTAAACTGTCACGACGCCAGCTATAAAGGTCTCTGCGTGTGCTCAGTGTCAGCAGGATCTTTCTTCTTGTAAGGCTAAAAGGATGCCCAAAGATTGTCTTTTTTTTGTAATCCTGCTCTTCACAAAGGCCCAATCCATCTTCTGAATTCATTCACGGGAAGGATTAAAGCTGGTTGGGAATTTCTAAGTTATTCCTTGGCTAAGCTTTTTTTTTTTAAAAAAAATGCTGTTTTGTGGAGGGGGTTATTATTGTTATTATTATTATTAATGTATATTAATCAGAATTAACCTTGAAGCAATTTCAATATTTTAGGAACATCAGCACACGTTCGCGTCAAAGCAATTTCATAGCTAATGGGGAAAAAATGGCTAATTGCTGTAAAACATTTGGTAATGAATTTCTCTTTAGGGGAGTGTGATGGTGGTGGGGAAACATCCAAAGGTTGAATATCCGATTTTATACCTACTTATCTTGGAAAACTGTCTCGTCTCCAAGTTCCGAATCCATGTTGTTTACAGCATCTTGCAGCCTTCAAATTTGCTACTTTTTCACTACACAAATGCTGAAACACTCCAAGTTTGGGCCCCAGACACACTTACCAAGCATTAAATCAGAACACAGGTCATAATTTGTCCTTTGAAAGCTCTGATATCAAATGATTATTTGATTTGACTGATAAATCACTTTGCTTGCGATTCTTCAATGTTTTTAGCGTGAAAATGTTCATGCACATCCCACTCACCCAAAAAGCCACCTGATAATTTATTACAGCTCATCTACAGTGCAAATGTGTGGCAAAAGAATGCTTGATAGCTGTTATTAAATGGAAGAGGTGCAATCGGGGAGAAAACAGAGCTTTTCTGCCAAATTCCAAAGCCAAATCCTCACCAAAAATGCTTTTGCTGGGAGAAGCGTAACCCAATTTCCCAATTGGATCCTGTTGGATGAGAATCGTTACTTGGATCAGGAGGAAGCTTGAAGGGCTCTTGTTTTTTGGGCCAAGTGTGCGAAGTGCTAGAAGCTCCAAAAAAAGGCAGAGCAATGGAGAAATCGGGTAAATCCAAAGCTCACGTGGGCTGGGTGGTAAAGACCACAGGAGGTGCTGAGACATCTCTAGACATGAAGCACCTTGTGCCTTCCCAAGATACCACCCCAGTGCCACGCAAAGAACCCTCCGAATTTGTAATTTTTTAAAAAGATGGTAAAAAGAGCGAATTACAGATCTGTTTCACACGGGGAGAGCCCTCCAGAAAAACAGAAAGGAAACCAAATTCAATTAGCGACGGGACTGTGCTTCGTTAGCGCGTATTAACGGCTTCCAGTTGTTAGAAAAGCTTCCTCGCACGCCCATCGCCGTCTCGAGCTGTGAAATTTAAATTCACGCCCCAAAAAAGATTAGAATATCAATTACAAGCGCCGTGTTGCTTTATGCTCTTGTTTTATGCTAACTTAAGGCATGTTACGGCTAAAGGGTGGGTTTTGTGCTTATTTTTTCATATCTAGATGTTCTGCATTCTGTTGCCACCTCCGCGCCGCGGTCCCGTGCACGTTGGTGACAGCAGCACCGTGAGGCTCGTGGCAAATGGGAGCAGATACCTCTGCTATAGTCATTCTCATAGCACTGACTGGAGAGGGCTCAATATCCACCAGCTGCACCGCGTTAAAGCTCTGGAGGCAAAGAGGGCACAAAGAGGAAAACACAGAGCAAGGGTTAGAAAAGGCAACACAAACAGGTTAGAAAAGCTCTGCTCGCTGCAGGACAGACAACCTAGAAACACACGTAATTATTTACTTCAGATAAAGCAGCTGGGAGCAACCTTAGAACCACATTTTGTTAAGGAAAGACAAGTGTGCTCTAGTTGTTAGGTAAAATCACTGTGGATCCATTAGGTTTCCACTGAAAGAGCTGCTGCCATTAATCACTCAAGCTGCAGGCCGGGACATTTCCACCCGTGTCAGTTTATTAAATATGAATTCAAGTAATAAAACGGGGCATGGGGTTAATTTCTTCAAAGCTAGACGGGTTTTAAATCGTTTTTTTGTTAAGAACAGTGTTAGCAGCGTTGCTGGGACATCAATCACTGGGTTTAAAGTGCTGTTGGGAAGTGTATTTGCACCCTCTGATTTCCTTCAGTTCATTAGTGTTTGCTGTGCAAGTGATGCACGTCCTGGAACAGCATTTTCAGAGATTTCATTCTGGAAAGCAGCATTTTACCCACATTCTTCCTAAATGAGAAGTATTGGTATGTATCCATAGACATTCCTTGAGTGAATCACAGGCAAACGGGCGTTTTATTTGGTGCAGCATCCTTCAATCTTTAAGCTACTTTTCTCCTCCAAAACCCCAGCCTGAGGGACACATGTTGGGACACTGGGGAGCACTATTTTTGCATCCTGCTGTAAGGGAGGTGTTGGAAAAGGAGCAAGAGGGAATAAAGCAGAGCGCTGAGCAGGGGCCTTACGGTGTCGCTGTCGCAGGGCTGGAACTGGAAGGGCTGCGGCTTGTGAAACACGGAGTTTTCTTGCAGGAAAAGCTGCAGGTTGTAATCCCGCACCACCTGCAAAGAAAGAGAGGCAGGGTGGGTTCCTCTGCAAGCTGTGAACCACTAGACACAGGCTACAATCGGCGCAGGGGGACACCGGAGCTGGAGCAACACCTGGAAGGCACCAAAATCCCATTTCCTCAGCTTTGTTCCCAAAGGAAAGAGAGATCCAGGCACTGAGCAAGAGCACCCACAGTTACTCCTGGTTCTTCACACTGAGAGCCAAGGACCCGACACAGATCCACCATTAACCAAGCCCCAAAATACCACGACAGCAAAATACAGGAAATAACAACCACCAAATATACAGGTATGTGGTATGGAGTGTCACTCCCATGAGCAATCTTCTATATTCTCATGGATAACTTCTTGTATGGAGTTATTTCTTAAACACCACAAACATTATTTGGAATAAAGCAGGTAAAAATCAGTTAAAAATGCATCTCTCTGTATTGTGTGGAGTTACTGAAATACTGAATTGCAAAAAACACCGTCACTCCCACTAAATAATAATAATAATAATCGTTATCATCATCATCATCATCTCCACGGTTTTTTTTTTCATTTTCTTCTTTTAAAAGGCCTCAGAAAAGGCACAAATTTACCCAGCAGCTGTTCTATAATGAATGCATTGTATAGCTGTGTATGTAGATAGGATTTGGCACAGGATTTGATGCCAGGCAGGAATTACACACCTAAGGAAATGTGAGTGTGAAGGACGAAGCAAAAGCAGGAGACAACGGACCCACTTTCACATCGTCCACTGCTCTGCTGGGTCAAATAAACATTTAAACCAGCCTCAAGTTAAAAAAGAGGGTGAAAAAACATGTAGTTACTGAAGATAGGACAGGGCCTACCAGGTCAAATAAAATATTTAAACCAGCTTCAAGTTAAAAAAGAGGGCGAAAAAATGTGTAGTTACTGAAGATAGGACAGGGCCTGTACTAGAAAATTTCAGACAAAGATGCTTTTTCAGTTATTTTACAAAATATATTTTCACAACAGAGATCTAACTCATTTTGTTTCCAAGAAAAGGCATCTTAATGAGAACCCCCATGAGAAATTTTCCTTGAAAGGCAGAAGATTTAGTTAGGAATAAGGGCAGGTCTCTCATAGCGTCGAAAAAAATTAAAGGCAGCAAATAAATACCCTGGAGTTTCTGCACTGCATTTTTACCCATTATTAGAAAGGAAATAAAAGCAACTTCCAGGCAACACAAGATGCTCAGGATCAAACAGCAACTTTTGCAAGGGAATTCCCAGTTATTGAGGAATTCACTGTTATTGTGCACTTATATATAAGCATGCCCAAATACACAACCGAAGCATTTCTGTGCACGAGCTATGTGGAAAATGTCATTTTTAGCTCACTAATTAACTAGGTAGCTAAATAACTTAATGACCCTTCAGCTTTGGCATTATTTTAGAAGCCAACCTTAAATTTGAGGACTTACTTACCCATGGTGCAAGGATGCAGCTACAAAGGATGGTTCCAGGGAAAACTTACCCTGCTGGAAGTCTCCAGGAGGAACTGGAAGGTGTTTTGCACAGCTT